AATATCGAGTAAATGCTTGACCATCAGGCATAAATTTATCTAGTCTTTTATAGAAAGTCTCAACATTTTCCGAAAAGACAACGGAGTTCGGTAAATGGTTCCATCCCTCAACCGGCCGGTGGGAAAAGAATTTGGTCTGCCATTCGAGTTTGACATATTTTATCTTCAATTTGTATTGGTGGTCTCAAAGATTGGTCGTTCGCGCCACTTTGAACAGATCGTCAGACTGAATAGCATAGTTTAGTGCTCGGCCGATCCTGAAGGCCATGATCATATATCCTCTGTATTTTCTCTAAGAGAGAGGAAATATTTTTAGCTTTTCCAGGCGTCTCTCATAAGGGAAGCAACTTAGTCCACCGACCAGCTTGGTTGCTCTTCGTTGTACATTCTCCAGTAGGATGTAATCTTGTTCCGCCCAGGGACACCATGCCTAAACATAATATTCCAACATTGATCGAACAAATTTTTCAAATACTCGGCTGAAAAGTTCTTCGTCAAAATTAAGGAAGGATCTTCGAATCGCGCTTAGGATACCTATAGCTTTCTTCGATACCTTGGCGCAGTGAGACAATGGTTTGAGAGATAGCGTCACCCACACAACCGGGTCTCAAAACTCGTTGACCGGTTGGAGTTGGTGACCTCCTATAAATTAGTGGCATTCAAATCTCAAAGGCCTCCTGTTGCTGGATCGCAATTGGATAAGTTGCATTTGTTAAGATTGAGGCTAAGACATCATTAATCACACCTTCGTTGCAAGCTGTTCAGATTGTTTTGTAAGTGTAGAGAGGCCTCCGGCTATTCTATTGTTTTCCACAATTTGAGATCATCGACAAACACTACGCGCCCGCAGTTCTGACAGTCCAGGCAGTCGTTCACGTATGTTAAGGACAGAACTGGACCCAAAACATCCTTCATCGTGTTAAAATCTGCCATCTATACATTAAGTTGTTGTTTTTACCAGATCGCTCTTGTGAAACATGTCATCTGTCGTTTCTCGATCTACTTACCTCTCTTCGTAATGATCACCTATCTGTTGTCGTTATTTATTTTGATCTTAGTAAAGCCTTTGATAAAGTACCACATTAAAGACTCTTGATTAAATTGGAAGCAATGGGAATTCGCAGTCCACTAATAGACTTTCTCAGGTCATACCTGTCTAATCGTAAATAAAAGGTTTTGGTGGGATCTTCACTTTCCAGTGAAAGTCCTATTGTAAGCGGTGTCCTACAAGGTACCGTTTTAGGTCCTCTTTTGTTCTTGCTTTACATAAATAATATTTCAGCAGCAGTTAAACATTCTCAATCATTTATTTATGCCGATGATCTCAAATGTGTATATTCTTTCAATCAATCTACGAGCCTTCATTGCCTGGAGCAAATCCATGCTGACTTGCTTGCTCTCTCAGCATGGAGCTCAAAATGGCTAATGGAATTCTCTCCGTCTAAATGTCGTTATATGTGTTTTGGACCTGATAGGCTACCCCAACCTGTGGTCTTTCAAGGCACACCTATGACTGAATGTACCACCATCAAGGATTTAGGTTTAAGCTATACTTGTAATCTTGATCTCTCGCCGCACGCTGACAGAATTACAGCCAAAGCTGCCCAAATTTGTGGCTTTATTTCTTACAATTTCTATCTTCCTGAAATTAAATTAAGGCTCTATCGTATGTTTGTACTTCCCATTCTCGAGTATTGTTGCCCATTCTTTGGTTTGATGAGTGAAGCCAGTCGTTTAAAAATTAAAATGCCCAAAGACGTTTTTCTGAAAAACTTTTAGATAGGGAACATCCCAATATCTCCTACTCAGATAGATGCCAGCTAATAAACCAAAAATTTTTATGGGTTCGAAGACTAGAAGCGGGCTTCTGTCTCCTCTTTCGCATTAATCATAGTTCAAATTTTCCTCGGATTTCAACACTTACCCCTAGTAGTCGTCCTTACAATCTTCGCAACTCGTCTCTAATTATACCTCCTCCAGCGTCCTCCACCTCTAAGCGCTCCCTTTTTTTCGCTTCCAGGTATACTTTCCTCTGGAATAACCTTCCAATAAATATAAGATCTTCAGAAAATCTACACACATTTAAGAGAAGGCTACGCCTTTATCTGAATACTGACTCGATTAAACTTTTATTTTCCTCATCCTTCCCAGACAACTTTTTCTATGACACTGAGAAAGGGCCACCGGGAATTTAGCATGCCGCTATTAAATTTCCGTATCTGTTCACGTTTCCTTCCTTTATGAGTAGTCTCGCTACCTAAGATCCCTCACCAGAAATGTTAATTATTCCAATTTTTTAGTTCATGCATCGTGCCCTCACAGAATGCACGCCATCGACGCTCTTGGCGAAACCTTCTGTATTCGCCATATACTAGTAGTCTGGTCGCATCGCCCTTCTCCCGTGTTCGGATGGACTCGGTTGAATGAAACCGACCGCATCTGGGTTCCTATTGCCTCGGGACTGATCTTCATGATGCCCTTACTGAATGCGCTCCATTGACGCTCTTGGCGAAGCCTTCTATATTCGCCATATACTGGTAATCTGGTCGCATCTCCTTTGCCCTATCCTCGGATGGACTCTGATGAATGTAACAGACCGCATCTGGGTTCTTGTCGCCTCGAGACTGATTGTCATCGTGCCCTTACAGAATGCGCTCCATCGGCGGTCTTGACAAAGCCTTCTATATTCGCCATATACTAGTAGTCCGGTCGAATCTCCCCCCACGCTCGGATGGACTCGGTTGAATGAAACCGACCGCATCTGGGTTTCTATCAGCTCGAGACTGGTTTTAATTCCGCCACTTATTTTTCTTATTCAAGGCGATACAGGCCAGTCCTAACCGATCCGCCTACATACCATTTTATGAAATCCGTTACACAATGCCATATACAGCTGACATTTATTTCGGCCATGTTGCTGTCGGACTATATTCCATTCTGTACCGCCACATGCAGGCCAGTCCTCCCTGTATTTTTCTGATGCTATTTTTCTGAGGGGTTTTTTTTTCTCCTGTTAAATCACTACAATCATTTTTAACTTTTGCTTTGGAGTTTTTTTTCACCCCTCTTTTTTTCATTTTAATTTTGCTTAACAGACTTCTAATCTCAAAAACTATGCATTGCACTTTGTACAGATTTTGCCTACCTCGTCTAAAATTCGCATGTAAATTTATTTTTACCTGCTTTGATGGGACCCCGACGGGTCTTTAATAAAAATAATTGAATTGAATTAATTGAACTGAATTGAGTTCATCCGTTCTTTTCTGGCGTTGATAGAAGAGGGAGTAATCCCAAAGCAGTGTCGTATGGTCACGCTTTCCGAGAAGCGCATGGAATACATTTCGTTAGTATGTGTGAAGTCTTTAGTGAGAACAAGATTCAACAATTCGTTCTCTGGTTCTCTCGAAATCTTTCTGGTAACTTCACATGTTTCGCCAGATGGAGGCCGATAATGAGGTCCACTAGCTTATTGCTGAAGGAACTTGGCCTACCGTTAACTGCCATAATTTCCCACTCTATAGTAGGTGTGTTAAAATCCCAGCAATAAGAAACTCATAGTGACTATCTACTTCCTTAACTGAATGGAGGGACTACTCATCAACAGCGCTCGGAACGTTTGGTGACCTGTGAACCGTCAGGAATTCCAGGTTTTCTGCGTTACACTTATTTTTCTTTATCCAAGCATATTCATATTCCAGAGAGATGATGTGGGCTCGTTCAACTGTCAAAATTCCTGTCCATACATATATGACTACCCGAACGCCATTGTCTATTTTGGCGGTCTCTGCAAAAGGGATAATAACCACGGATCGAAGTCCCGGCATCCACGATTTCGGCTTTAAGCCAAGTTTCCGTTATGGCAATGACGTCGAGGTATCGTTCTGAAACTAGTGCTTCGAGTTCGAGATCTTTGAAACGAGACTCTGAACATTAGTATTCACAAATCCCAATTTGGCCTGAGCAACTCCGGCATGTAGGCGTCTGTCCATTTCATGGAGTTGAATGCAAAAGCCGACCAGAGCTGATCGAGATGGGCCGCTTTCCATCACTCCTAAGCTGTCAGGGTTATAGGCTTTCTCCAGAAGAATGGTCTCTGGGTATGTGTACTTTTCTTGTCCAGTATTCTGAGATTTTTCTTGCCTAGGATCGACCTCCTGACGACTTCAAATTTGAGCCCCCTCAATTTCTCCCTCTCCGGAAGCGAAAAGTCTCGCTGAAAAAATCGTGCTGGGTTGGAAACAGTAACTGTGTTTGTTCCTCATTCTGGAAGGCAATTTCTAGCGGTCTCGATCGGTCTGGTTCATGTTTCGAGTCTTCTATTCGGCCAATCTAGAAAGCCTTTGATATAGCGAATTTCTCGTCTCCTCCTAAGAGTCACTTAAGATACTGATAAAAGATTTCTATGTTATGCTGAATTCTATCCTTCGGAGTGTCGGAAACAGACGCAGGCATGTCCTTTATGGCAATGCATATACTGCGATCAACTCGAGTGTCTTATGGATTAATCAATCAAATCGTCTACTTTAGATAAAAATAATCCTTCCAGAAATCATGGAATACAAAGTAATTAAATAAGGATTATTGCAACGAGACATGTTTGGAGCGAAAATGCCATAACTTCAGTCAACTGTTAAACTAAAACTCCCGACACCTTGTTATCTCTTGCATACAACAAGCTCCTGCTCCATCGTCTGCTCTGCCTGCTGTTTCGTCTATATACTCTCCTCTCAAAGTGTTGCAGAAGAGGACCCCACTTGTTCAGAGTCGACGACACTGAACCCGAGCCCGTAGGTTAATAGTCCACTCTGACAATTTATGTCGGGAAGAATTTTAATAGGTTAAAATTCCGGCGGCGAGGGCAATTCCCCGCTTGCTTACACGGCCTACGTCAATAGGTCAGTAAAATACACCAACAAACGGGCGAGTAGGGCGTGTATCTTCAACTGCCTTCCTATTATTCTGATGGACTTTCTGTTGAACTGCACGTTTAAATTCCTTGAATGCCCCCGACTAAAGCTAAAAAAGCCGTCTTGGCTTACTCTTCCGCCACCCATGGTTGTTTTCATGGGCCTCCTTACAACTTACTTTTTAGTTACCGGAGGTAAATTGCATCTATTTATTGCTTAATTTGAGACCAGGTGTTGTTTTCGATGTCATTAACGGTCCACCTAGTGTGGGGACCGAGACAGATGCTAAAGGCAATCAGCGACCGGTGAGTTTATTCGTATTCGGGCATATTTTTAGGTCGCCTTTATGCAATGGCGAATAAACAGCCAGTACATCATGGAAGGCTTATTATGTAGTTTTATGTTCACTTTGGGGAGCATTGGCTTCATAATACTTGACCGTGTCAACGAAGCCAAAATGACAAAGATTACGCGAGTAATCCTCATGGCTGTTGGAGTCACCTGTATGCTCACTTCCCTCATAGCAACACGTTCCTTCATGAAAATAAAGCTGCCGTAAGACTTGAAAAACCTTATTTACGTCGTTTTTAGTTCTTACCGTTTTTAGAGTACCGCAGAGTTCGTCGACTTGGAATTTCCGGCTTGTTACTGATTTGGGCCATTTTGCGGCACTCGCACATTACTTAAGTCTTTTCGTTTTTTATCAATAAATTCCGTATCTTTCTGCATGTCTTTT